AGTACACTGCTGAGGGGAGCAGCGGGCGGGCCAGGAGAGGTCTGCCACGCCATGTGGATCTCCTCCGGGGCAGGTGGGGATCGAACTCTTGAGGAAGTGGCTTAAGTTGCATTGTGCTGTGCTTTAACCCACTGCGCCACCAGGGAGGGTCCTAAATAAGACACTTTTAAGGCAATAGTTCCCTGGATAAAAGTTTATTCTAATGATTTTTATTAATAAAATAATTTAAAATAAAAGATAAATAATTAAAATATGTGATTTATGTCCTTATAAGATTTTTAAGGAGTCCACATAGTTGTAACTTACATTAAACTTTAGGAAAATTCTTTTCTTGGTTCTTTATGAAAAGTAACTGCTGTTTGAGGCTTAGCATACATTAATTTGTACAGCAGTGTATTGGGAGAGCATGTGTGTTGTGAAACAGATTTTACACTTGAGGGATTGCAGCTGAGTTTTAGGTTCACAGGTATGCTCTCTGATCTTGAATGGGTCACTTAATCTGACCATCTATTTATAAATTAGGTATATATAAGATAGATAATTCATTGATATGCTGGTAAAACCTTTCAAAAGCAGTAATTTTTAGACGAGTATTTCCTTAACTTTATGTTAACAACAGAAGCCCCTTTTTTGTCTAAAAATTTTAAATATTTTTCCATCTAAAATAAGCTTCTCCCTCTAATGAAATGAATACCAGTTAAGTTTTGGGTACCAAAAAATAGCTTCAAGATTTTAAATACTGTTCTTGGATATTTCTTGAGTAAAAGAAATAAGAAGTGGTTTGGGGTGAGGGTAGAGCGAGTTGCCCTAGTTTTTCTGACATCCTTCTGAAAGTTTTGTTGGGCTAACTTGTTAGCACTGATACCATAACTACTACAGTATTATAGTTGTCAGTTTTAAAAATTTATATAGTAAAGAGCAGTATATTGAAAGAATAAATAATAAGAACAATCATAAGGGTACAGAAAATTATAGCATTTAATTTCCCGGTGTACTTAAGTTTCTTTCCCCATTCAATCAGAGTGACTTCTCATTGCAGACCGGCATTTTCCTTTATTTATGAATGCCTGTTAGGAACTGGTAAATTTAAATGTTTCCTCCTTTGGCAATAAATGTGCCTTCGTATGTGGTATATGTGGTTTTGTATTCTATCAGTAGACAATCATTTCACTTACATTAAACAAATATTTAGAATTTGTGACCATTTTCGCTATCTAGTTTTTTCCCCTACTCTTATACCTTCTCATAATCAGTTTGTGTTTAAACACTATTCCATAAAAATGTATTTCATCTGAAGTAGTTTAATTCTGCATTTGTTTTTCAAAATCTCAATACTAAATATATGTGTAAGATAGGTCGGTTTGTTTACTCTACCCGTTTATCTAGTTTTCTTACTGTTTTCCCCTGTTCTCACTAGAAACCTCATATCCTTACCCAGCATGTTACCTGCGAGTCATGAGACTCTTTGAAGGCTTTGATAATGCTAGAGAAAATAGCGTTGCCTCTTTCTGACACTATTTTTTATTTTTTTAAGATTTATTTTTATTTACTTATGCATACAAGAACTGGAGTGTAAGAGTGTAGGTGCAGAGGGTGAGGGTATTCACTAGAGACAGGGTAGGGAGCAGAACAGGGGGATTTACTGAAATTGCTGCTTGAGATCTGCTCAGTGTGGGTCAGCTCCCCGGCCGGGGATCAGGGATTGAACTCATACTTCAGTGACTGGTGATAGCTTGATAGCTCTGATTATTTTTTAAAAAAAGATTTATTTATGCATACAGAACTGGGGTACAAGCCAGAGGTGCAGGGGTGGTGAGAGGATTCACCAGAGCCAGAATGGGGAGCAGAACAGGCTGACTAATGAAGTACACTGCTGAAGGGAGCAGCGGGCCTGTCAGGAGAGGTCTGCTGTGCCATGTCGATCACCTCCAGGATGGGGATTGAACTCATACGGAAGTGGCTGTAGCTTCTTAGTGCTGTGCTTTAACCTGCTGTGCCACCAGGGAGGGCCTAATAGCTCTGATTTTAACCCCTGTGCCATCAGGGAGGCCCCTTCCTTATTTTTTAAAATTCTTTTATTTCTGTGTTTGGAATACCTTCCTTGTTCAGGATTTGAATTCTGAAAAAGGTAGAAATACGATTCCTTCCCTCCCTCCCCCATTTGAATGTTGGTCAGCACTACATTTCTTTTTTAAAGATTTGTTTATTTTATGCATACAAGAACTGAGGTACAGACCAGAGGTTTAAGAGGTGAAAGATTTCACTAGAGACAGAGTGGGGAGCAGAACAGGCAGATCTATTGAAATACACTGCTTAGGGGAACAGCAGGCAGGACAGGAGAGGTCTACTGTGTCATGTGGGTCTCCTCCCTGGCCAGGCATCGAACTTGTGCTGCAGTGGCTGTGATAGCTTCATCATGCAGTACTTTAACCTGTTGCACCACCAGGAATGGCCTCTTGGTTAGCACTATACTGATTAAATCTTCTTAACTGTTTTCAAGAGTGAAGTAAGTCTACTAACACATTTTTGTTTTATGGTTTTTATAGAATAACCAGGGTAAATATGGTATGTGTAACATTTTTTGAAGAAGGAAATGCTTACTATATTTTAGGATTTAGCAATTGGACTTGATATGGTAATCTGTTCATAATTCTCCAAAATTTTAGTTTATATTTTTTATTGACAAAAATGTCCCTTTTCTTTTAAATTGCATTCTTTGTTTTATTTATTTTATTTTAAAGATTTATTTATTTGTGCATACAGAACTGGGGTACAGGTCAGAGACTCAGGGGTGGCGAAAGACTTCACCAGAGACAGAGTGGGGAGCAGAACAGGCAGATCGACAAAGTACACTGCTGAAGAGAGCAGCAGGCGGGTCAGGAGAGGTCTGCCACGCCATGTGGATCTCCTCCAGGGCAGGTGGGGATCGAATTCATGCAGAAATGGCTTAAGCTTCTTCGTGCAGTGCTTTAACCCGCTGCACCACCAGGGAGGGCCTGTTTTATTTTTTAACATTTTAAAAGGACAGGTTTATTAGGAAAATGAGAAAGAGAGGCACCACCTTCCTACAAGTGGGCAGGAAAGCTGTTTCAATTACATGTTTTTATTAATCTGGTCTCATCATCTTTGACACCCATTTCTAACGCACCTTTACACTTGCTTATAATTCTTTTTTTTTTTTACAAAAGTTTATTTTTATATCATTTTGTACATTTTTATAATTCTTTTAATTAACTTTGAATTTTGTGTTTAATTTACTGTCTTAGAATTTGGTGTATAGATAATTGTGCTTAGATGTGTTTTCTTCCTTTTTTTAATAAAACAGCCTTCCCCACAACAATGTTAATTCTGACAATGAAAAACATTTTTCTGTTTTATTGAGTTGTGAGTTTTAAAAATATAGACTAGAAGAAAATAAAGGTACTGATAGTCTTTTGTTTGCTTATATTATAAAGTTGTTAGAAATGGTATTGATATATTTGAGTTGGAAATTGTGGCTTCCTGGAGGCCCATGGATGAGTTAGATTTGAATAATGTTTTATAGGGGTAGGATCACCTTGATTGCATAATAATTTTATTTACTGTCATTCTGATTTTTTTCGTTTTAACTTCACAACAACCTTACCAAGTCTCAAAGGATATGTGCTACTTAAAATATGTGCATGGGGAAAACAGATTTGTGTGTGTTTGTGTATGTATTTATATATACATGTATATACATGCACATCTCCCCTGCAAAGCTTCAGTTTCATGTAATTAGATAAAATTATAAGTCTAACAGATTGTTATATGACAGAAGTTGCAACTCAGGGACCATGTGTAGCCCAGGCACAGTGATTTTTGAATGCCAAAGTTGGATTATTATTGACTAAGGAAAAAAATAATGCAGTAGATGATTATTTCTACTGCTCTTCTGTCACTTCCCTATCCTTTCTTTTTCTGATCTCTAGAGCTTTACCAAAATGATCTGATGAGTGGATTTACCAGAAACAAGAGTGGGGAGCAGAACAGGTAGATGTATTGAAATATACTGCTGAGGGGATCAGCAGGTGAGACAGGAGAGGTCTGCCATGCCATCTGTGTCACCACCCCTGACGGGGATGGAAATCATGCTTCAGTGATTGTGGCTAGCTTCACAGTGCTGTGCTTCAACCCATTGCACCACCAAGGAGGGCCCTACTTTATTTTACAGCTACTGAAGAGTTGGCTAATATATCTTTTTCATGTTCTCACTTAATTGCTTTTAATTAAATATAATTTATAAAACAATCTTTAATAAACTTATTTTAAAAAATATTCTTAAGGTACTCACTGACATTAGACGTGGAATTCAATACTTTATTTTGATCCTGGAGTTACAAGGAACGTTCTATCACATCCCTTGAATTTTCCTCTCTCGTCATATGGGACAGATTTCCTCAGTATATTGACAGTGCTTCAGCATGCTGGGAGTAACAGCAAATTAAGGGCTAATTTCCTTATTTCCCTTATGTACTAGCTATTGAGAGAGAAGATGTGGATTTGGTTCAAAATTCTTGGTACAGTTACAACATCAACAATAGAACATGTTCTGTTTCGGTAAAAATAAACAAGAAAATATTGTTTGCATTACATATAATGCTGTTGTAATAGGTTTGTGCAATTGCATTTTTATCTTTATTTATTTTCGATTTATTTTATGCAATCAAGAGCTGGGGTATAGGCCAAGTGTGTGTGTGGGGTGTTGTGAGAAGATTCACCAGAGGCAGTGGGAGCGAAACAGGTGGATCTACTGAAATACACTGCTGAGAGGAACAGCAGGCAGGGCAGGAGAGGTCTGCTGGGCCATGTGGGTCACCTCTCTGGCTGGGGAATGAACTCTTGCTACTGTAGCTGCTGATATCTTCATAGTGTTAAAATAGTTTTTGATTTTCAGCTTTACAAATTGGGGATGTTTCATTAATGACATCATTGTTTGAAGAAAAGTATTTAAAAGTTTTTATTTTCTTTTATTTAACTAGATGTGATGCTGACCCTTCAGCCTTAGCAAACTATGTTGTAGCTTTGGTCAAGAAGGACAAACCTGAGAAGGAACTGAAAGCCTTTTGTGCTGATCAGCTTGACGTCTTTTTGCAAAAAGGTAATCAATAAGGACCTTAAATTACTTGGGTAAAGATTTTATTTATTAATTATTATTTTTTAAAGATTTATTTATTTATGCTTTCAGAACTGGGGTGCAGGCCAGAGGTGTGGTGGGTGAGAGAATTCACCAGAGAAAGAGTGGGGAGCAAAACAGCCAGATTTTACTGAAATACACTGCTGAGGGTAGCAGCAGGCGGGTGAGGGAGGTCTGTCACTCCATGTGGGTCAGCTTCCTGGCCGGGGATCGAACTCGTGCTGGCAGTGGTTTCAGAGAGCTTCATAATGCAATGCTTTAACCTGTTGCACTTCAGGGAAAGCACAAGATATTTATTTTAAAGATTACATGTATTTTATACATACAAGAACTGGGATGCAGGCTCCAGGAGGTACAGGGGCTGGAAGGGGAGTAAGGATTCACCAGCGAATGGGGAGCAGAACAGATACACTGAATATATTGCTGAAGGGAGCAATGGGCAAGACAGGAGAGGTCTGCACCATGTGGGTCAGCTCCCTGTCCAGGGATCAAACTTGTGTTACAGTGGCTGGCTGTGGATAGCTTGATATCATGCTTTACTAGTTGGCCTTGGTAAAGATTTAAATTTAAAACTACCTAATAAAATCTTCGAGATACAAGTTTGAAGGAAACTGGTCAGAATTCTTAGACTATTCAGTATATTCATTTATGGTTAATTATTTGTCATATATTTTGGCAGAACTATTTTTTTTTTCACTTTGCTACTGCTTTTCTTTATTAAGGCAGTAGTGACTATAATCTTTTTTAGGTGACTGGGTCCTTTGTGACTTATGACATGGTCTATTTGATGGGGGGGAGTGTAACTATTTAAGGATAATTAAGCTGCTTATTTTTGCTTTTTACTAGGACAATGAAACTTTGTTTACTTCTTGACTGGGGCTTTATGATATGGAAGATGAGATGGCATGGTCCTCTTAATGCCTTTAACTTCCCATCTTTTAATAAATACATTCCTTCCATGATCTATACAGCTTCCAGGAAGTATCCCTCCTGCTTCTCTTACCTCATCCCACCTCCTCACTTACTCCATTCTAACCATTATTTATTTGTTTCTAAGATTTATTTATGAATACAAGAACTGGGGTACAGGCCAGAGGTGCAAGATGGGTGGATATGAGAGGATTCACCAGAGACAGAACAGGCAGAGTGACTGAAATACACTGCTGAGGAGAGCAGAGGGAGAGGTCTGCCATGCCATGTGGGTCAGCTCCCTGGCTGGGGATGGAACCTGTGTTGCAGTGGCTACAGATCACTTCATAACCCTTAAGTGGCGCACTTAACCCTTGCGCCACCAGGGAGGGTCCTGTTATTTATTTGTTTGTTTGTTTCAGAATGACAGGCATGTTCCCAACTCAGGGCTTTTAAACTCTTTTTACCCTTGTTGAAACATGGTTTCCTCCCTAGGGTTTCTGGTCTTTTCTCAAATGTCAAATTCTCAGAGTAGTTTTTCTGAGTACCTTGTGAACACTGTCATATGCCTCACGCCTCTGTTCACTTTCTGACTTTGCTTTGTTATTTTCTCATGGCACCAGTTGCTCCTCATGTTGAGTATAACTTTTTCATGTTTTAAGGTTATTTGCCTGTGCATTTGTATGTGTCTCTCTTCTTCTTCCTGGCCCCCTTTTGTCTTTCCCTTTGTTGTAAGTGGACACTGGGAATCTACAATGCCTGGTAGATAAAAGATATTCAGTCTTGTTGAATGGATGAATAGGAATGTGGACAAATACACACTTTTTGGTTGAACTAGCTATGCAGTGAGAAAATAGTCTTTAACGCAAATATCTACTGAAAAAGAAATGATAGTAAATATAGCTTCGCAGTGTAAAATACAGGATTTTTGGGTGCATTTTAAGGCTTTTTGTACCAAAAAACAAACAAAAAAAACTCAATTGTTTCCCAATACAGATGTATTTTTATTTTTGCATGTATTAATTTATATGACCTAGTTTTTATCAAAGATGAATTATGAAATGTAAAACCATGAAAAAGTTAATTGAAAAAGTAAAACATAATAGAGACATTTGGGATTAGAAGCAAATGTGTGTTTAGACATTAAATAGATGTCTTCTAATAAACCATAACGGTTTTTAGTGACATTTCTAAGTTGCTAAAGCTACATGTGAAGAAGAATATAAAATACATTTTAAAAAATGGACAACTATAAATTTGCCATCAGAGACATCTCTAAATTAGCACTATCTGTGGAATTTACCTGTATCTGCACTTTCTAATTCACTAGCCACTACAAGCTTTTGAGCCCTTGAGATACGGCAAATGTGATCTAGGAACTGATTTTTTAAATTTAAATTAAGTTAATGTTATGTGACTAGTTGTTACTCTAGAGAGCACAGTTTTAGACTCCGTGTATGTTTATATTATATATTGAAATGGTTTTAAATATACCTTTTAATGTACTTTTAAAAATGTAATAGTAAAAAATCTAGTAGTGTAATGAATATTTAATATCAGATGTTACGTTTCTTTCAATGGGTTACATGTATTTTAACTGACAAAAGTAATACATGTTTAAATATATTTTAGAAATAACGAATGTATGAAGAAAGTTCTGATTATCAAAGTTTTTGAAGGTGCTGATTAATTTGTTTGGTGTTTTAAAGTTATGTGTAATAGCCAACAAAAATTGTCGGTTTTATAATCATGGAAATTGCTTACTACACAAGTAAATAATGTAAAGAAATTTGTGGGAAGATTTTTTTCTGAAGAAAAATTAAGTTGACATTTTAGATATATATATAATATATATATAATGAGTAATAGTTGCAGTGTAAGCACAGTATGTTGTACTTTTAATATGTTTGTTAGCTGTTTAGAGTAGAATAGGTCCACTGAAAGTTATTTAAATTTGAGCTAGACTTGAATAACTTTTTAAATATTTAGATACTTATATATATATATA